CAAGATCTTGGCACTGGGTTCAAATCCCAGCTCCTCCCAGCTGTGTGACCCAGGGCCAGGTACCTGGCCTGTCTCTCTAGCCTTACTTTCCCATCTGTAAAATGGGGAGAGTGAGCATCCCTACCTCTACCTCCTGTGGCGTTCTGTAGGACTGAAGTCAGCCTGGGCGACAGGGTAAGACCCCATCCCTACAAAAATACAAAAAATGAGCCAGGCATGCTGGCGCACACCTGTAGTCCCAGCCACTCAGGAGGCTGAAGCAGGAGGAGCACTTGAGCCTGGGAGGTCAAGGCTGCAGTGAGCTGAGGTTGCACCACTGCACGTCAGCCTGAGCAACAGAGCGAGACTCTGTCAAAAATTTTTTTAAAAAAAGATCGAAGTAACACGCTCCTGCTGTGTAGCACATAAAACAGGTTCAAATAATAAGCGCTTACATTTGGGAGCTGTTTCTATGTGCCAAGACCTCTTCTAAAGTCTTTCACCTGGATTACGTCAACCTAGTAAGGGAAGTACTATTAATGACAACAGGCCTCATGTAGGCCATGCTTTCTGTGCTGGAAAGAATTCTGTGAGTCATTACATTCACTCTTCATTCCTTTGTTCTTTCATTCATTCATTTATTCATCCCTTCACTTGTTCATTTAACTACTCTCACAGCACCTACTGTGTTACAGGCCCTGGACTCAGCACTTTGGCCAAGGAAAAAGGCAATCAGTTCCTGCCCCCACCAAGAAGCCACAGTCTGCTGGGGCAAGGGGATGGGGGGCAGTTATAATTCTGTGCTGTGAATGTTGGATGGAGCACCCCCAGGAGGAGGCTGTGGGGCTTCCGGGGGCAGGAGAGGTTCTTGGAGGATGTGGTCCACACTAAGGCCTCAGCAAAGCAGAAGCTAGCATCTACACACCTGCGTGAGTCCCACTTAAAGAACACGAAGATGACCTTGATGGCACTGGGGAGCCACAGGGCTGTTGAGCGGAGGTTGCTCACTGGCTCCTTTGAGTGACCCTGCCAGGCAGGCACACTGAGGGCTTGTGCAAGGGCGCTACATATGAGGTCCTGGGGAGGGGTGTGCAGAAGAGGGGCAAACAGGGTTTGGGGTGGCAGGGCAGGACCAACGGCTCACATTTCTAAGCTGAGCCTGGGCAGGTAAGGCCTGGGAGGTAGAAGCCCAGCGCCATCAGCGCAGAGAGGCTGCGCCAGCTCAGCTCCTGCAGGAGGAGAACGCTGCACCCACTGAACCATGGAAGACCTACTGTGTGCTGTCCACAGTGCCTGGCAAGGGGGGCACTTGTTACAAATGCAGAGTCTCAGGTCCCACCCCAGAACTGCAGAAGCAAAACGTGCATGGCAACAAGATTCCCAGGTGATTTGAGCACACTCAAGTTGGAAAAAAAATTGTAGGGAATGCCATTTTAGTACGTCCCCTCATAAGCCTATGATAGGGTGCTAGGCAATGCATCAGGGTCTCAGCGCCTGGAACCTGAAAGTGGGAGGGGCCTCCAACGGCATCATATCCTCCTCCTCACACAGCACCTGGGGCCCCACCACACTCAGCTTAGACCCTCAGGATGGGGCAGAATAATAACAGTCCCATTTGTCAAATGCCTGTGAACCCAGCTTAGAGCTAAATTGCCCTGCTTGCACCTGCTCTTTTTTTTCCCCTAAAGATGGGGTCTCACTGTGTTGCCCAGGTTGGTCTTGAACTCCTGCACTCAAGCGATCCTCCAGCCTTGGCCTCCCAAAGTGCTGAGATTGTAGGTGTGAGTCACAGCGCCTGGCCCACTGCTCATTTTTAACGCTCAAATCAAATCCCAAGTGACCATGCTCACTTTCCAGATGAGGAGACCGGCTCAGAGAAATGAAGTGACCGGCCCGAAGCCACAGAGCCAATAGCACGAAGGATTATAATACAGCTGGACTCCGAAGCCTGGGTTTTTGCCTCTGCATCTCTATGCATGTAGAATATGAACCTAAAGTTCACCACTCAAGCTTGGATGGACCTAACATCAGATGCATAACAGTAAGCCCAAGGCGGTTTGTTTCAGGGCTGGGGGCTCCACTTGCTGGAAAACTGTCTTGAGGACAAAGGGGCTCTGCCTTCCCACATCCTCCACAGTGAGCTCCACAGTGGCTGCCTCTACCAGCATAGGTACCAAGCACCTGGTGCAGAGCAGATGCTCACGAACTTTTTAAGAGACAGGGTCTCGCTCTGGTGCCCAGGCTGGAGTGCGGTGGTGCACTCAGAGCTCACTGCAGCCTTGAACCCCTGGGTCCAAGTGATCCTCCAGACTCAGCTACCCAAGTAGCCAGGACTACATGTGTGCATCACCACACCTGGCTAATTTTTAAACATTTTGTAGAGAAAGGGTCTTGCTATATTGCCCAGACTGCTCATGAACTTCTGAAGGAACAAGGCATACCCTTGACACTCTATTTTCCAACATCCAGAGTCCATATGTGCCACTCTGTTAGAACTCAGTGCCTGGCTGACTTGTGTTACCCTACATACTCCTCAGCCTATGGCCCAAGGAGGTTTCACCTTGCCCTGACTGAAACCACCCACCCTCCATTCCTGCCCTTGGGGGATGCTGAGCTGACCACAGGCCCCAGGACCTTACTGCTCTGGAGGAAAACATTTGTATGTCTGGTCTTTGGCCATGGCGATTGGCTCAGACTCAGGTCCGTGACCCCATCAGAGCCAATGAGAAGCCAGGTGACTCTTTCGCTGGGCTCAGGTTCTCTCCCCTCCACTGGGCTTGGTGGGCTAGATGTGTAGAATTAAAGGTATAAGTCTTAATTGTCTTTAAGTCGGCCTTGGATGCAATCATACTGAGACCAGAGGCCACAACAACCAACAGACCGTCAGAATCTGAGCTCTTGAAATTGACTTAAGAATAAAATATACTGGATTAACAATACACCTGTGTTTAGACACACAAGAGAAAGTGGACATTTATATGTCAGTTTCCATAAAACTTAGGGGGAAATTTAAGTGTGTTTAGTAAGAAGGAAGCGTTTCCTGGAGTATTAAAAGGTTTGTTTCAAAGTTCCAACAAGCTGTAACCTTGAGACTCCGAATGCTTATTTTAGGAAACTACATCTGTTAGAAGTTTATGGTAGAAATTTGTTCAACTTGCCAGGCGCGGTGGCTCACGCCTGTAATCCCAGCACCTTGGGAGGCCAAGACGGGCGGATCACGAGGTCAGGAGATCGAGACCATCCTGGCTAACACGGTGAAACTCTGTCTCTACTAAAAAATACAAAAAATTTGCTGGGCATGGTGGCAGGCACCTGTAGTCCCAGTTACTCTTGAGGCTGAGGCAGGAGAATGGCGTGAACCCGGGAGGCGGAGCTTGCAGTGAGCGGAGATCGCGCCACTGCACTCCAGCCTGGGCGACAGAGTGAGGCTCCGTCTCAAAAAAAAAAAAAAAAAGAAAAAGAAATTTGTTCAACTTGAAGCTTCCTCATGAACTCTGTGTGATGATCAAGTCACTGGCAAGGACCTCTCACTAACCTAGCTGTTAGTAACTCAAGCAGCACTCGCTTGTAATCCCAGCCACTCAGGAGGCTAAGGCAGGAGGACTGCCTGAGCTCAGGAGTTCAAGACCACCCTGGGTAACAGAGCAAGACCACGTCTCCAAAAAAATCAAAAACAAAAAACAATTAACAGGTCTAGTGCAGCGGTGCACGCCTGTAGTGCCAACACTTTGGGAGGTAGAAATGGGACGACTGCTTGAGGCCAGGAGTTTAAGACCAGCCTGGGCAACATAGTGAGACCCCCACCTCTACAAAAACTTTAAAAAATTAGCTGGTATGGTGGTGCATGCCTGTAGTCCCAGCACTTTGGGAAGCTAAGGCAGGAGGATCACCTGAGTCAAGGAGGTCAAGACCAGCCTGAGTAACACGGCGAGACCCTGTCTCTACGAAAATAAAAATAAATTTAAAAATTAGCTGGGTGTGATGGCACATCTGTGGTCCCAGCTACTTGGGAGGCTGAGGCAGGAGGATCGCTTGGGCCCAGGAGATTGAGGCTGCAGTGAGCTATGATCGCAACACTGCTCTCCAGCCTGGGCAATGAGCGAGACCGTGTTTCAAAAAAGTTAGAAATACCCAAATAACAAATAATTCAACCAGAATACAGTTTAAGGCATTCCTCATTACTCTTCATTAAAAAGCAACCTAAAGGGTATCTAAAAGATTAACAAAACATAATGCAGAAGGTTGATTTTCCTTAACAGAAATTTGAGGCAGCCACCCCCATCTTGCCTGAGGCTGGAACTAACCCTAAAGAAGGGGAGCCAAAAGACAGAGGTCCTGATGACAGCCCAAGCCCCTAAGTTGGGCTCTACCACAACTGATTCATCTTTGTGTGTCTGGCAGTTGGCAGGATCCTGGGATCTAACAGGTCCTCCATATGTGTCTGAGATTCCAAGCACATTCCATCCGAGGAATCAGGGTGAGGCAGGGGGTGGCTGAAGAGCCCTTCCTCGCTTCCACGCTAGTTATAATTTATAATTGTGTGATCCTCACAGAAACAGAAGTGGTTCTTTCCTTACTGTTTAGGAACATCTTGTCTTGGAAGAGACTAGAAGCATTAAAACAACTATAGTTGGTTGGGCACAGTGGCTCATGGCTGTAATTCCAGCACTTTGGGAGGCCGAGGCGGGTGGATCACAAGGTCAGGAGATTGAGACCATCCTAACACGGTGAAACCCTGTCTCTACTAAAAATACAAAAAATTAGCCAGGTATGGTGGCAGGCACCTGTAGTCCCAGCTACAGGAGGCTGAGGCAGGAGAATGGCGTGAACCCAGGAGGCAGAGCTTGCAGTGAGCCGAGATGGCGCCTCTGCACTCCAGCCTGGGCGACAGAGACTCCGTCTCCAAAGAAAGAAAAAACTACCACCCTCCCCCTACCACTCAGCACTCAAGGAAAGAAACAGGACAAGAAATTTGCAAGGGCATGGCCCCACCCAGCACCCAAACCCACTGCCGGCCTTACCGAATGGTAGGCTGGTCTCCACTCAGCTGCTTAAATCTCCGATGGAGCTGCTCGATCTGATCTGATGAGACTGAGAAGTGGGGAAAGAGAGAAAAACAAGACAGAAGAAAACATCACTGACTGTCAGAGGGAGGCTGCAGGTATTCCTCTGCCCCATCCCCACCGGCTGCCGCACCCTTTCTCAAAGCGTCTCCCACCATGGCAAAAGGGAGTGCCGGGTGAAGCAGCAGAAAGGATTTCCCATTCTTCCCAGAAACACAGCTCTGCAGTGATCAGTTCCAACTGCCTTAGTAATAATAATACAACTATTACTAATAGCCCCAGAGACAGGGCAGTCATGAAGCAGGCCATTCTCCCAGCCTCTGACCTTCCCTAGCCCACTAAAGAGAAACTTTGCTTTCTGTGGCAGGGTTTCACTTCCATCACTCAGGCTGGAATACACTGGCACGATCAGCATCACGGCTCACTGCAGCCTCTACCTCCTGGGCTCCAGAGATCCTCCCACCTCAGCCTCCTGGGTAGCTGCAACTACAGGCATGCGTCACTATGCCCGGCTAATTTTTGTTTATTTGTTTTAGAGAGACAGGGTTTCACCATGTTGCCCAGGCTGGTCTCAAACTCCTGGACTCAAGCAATCTGCCCGCCTCGGCCTCCCAAGGTGCTGAGATTGCAGGCATGAGCCACCAGGCCCAGTCAAGAGAAAATTGCATCTGGTTGTCTGACCCTTCCTCTTCCACTCCAGAAGATGAGTTTTATCCTAGCTGAGAAAGGGGCTTTGTATAGTCACAGATTCGGAGTCAGATGAGTAGCGAGAGGAAATAAGGGTTCAGGCTGGTGTTGGACGTGATCTGGGAAACCTATACTGAGAAATGTATGGAGAATCTGGTGGAGCAAAGAAATGGAAGGACTCCAATCTGGGTGACAGGGTAAGACCCTATCTCTAAAAAATGCACAATATTAAACAATGATCTGCATTTCTCACTTCATTACCAAAACGACTCAGTAAGTGAGTGGATATTATCTCAGGTTGTTTGGTTGTTTGTTTGGAGACAGAGTCACACTCCATCACCCAGGCTGGAATGCAGTGGTGCAATCTCAGCTCATTGCCACCTCTGCCTCCGTGTTCCAGTGATTCTCGTGCCCCGGCCTCCCAAGTAGCTGGGATTACAGGCACACACCACCACGCCCAGCTAGTTTTTGTATGTTTAGTAGCGACAGGGTTTCACCATGCTGGCCAGGCTGGTCTTGAACTCCTGACCTTGAGTGATCCGCCCACCTCAGCCTCCCAAAGTGCTGGGATTACAGGTGTGAACCATCACACCCGGCCTTTATTTCAGTTTTATAAGTTGAAAACTGCAGCTCAGAGAGCACTTAAGATCCCACAACACACAGAGGCAGAGCTGGGACTGAACTCTGAGTCTGTGCGACCCCAAAGCCAGCCTTCACCAAGAAGTAATATCGCCTGTCTGCCCAGAGTACCTTGGCGCTCAAGGCCTTTAGGTCTGGTTCCTGGGGACTATACAGTTCACGCAAACTTTTCCAAAACACGGGCTGGACTAGGGAGATGTGACCTCCCACCTCAATCCTCCCAGTATTCCCTACCCCTAAGCCCTGTTTTGCTCCCATTACAAAGACAGTTAATTTCTGGGGTCAACTGGTCACCTCACTTCCTACTCATTGTTTTTTGGTCTCAGGCTCTTCAAGAATCAACAGCTCAGTATTCTCAAGCATCTCCAGCAGTTCATTAAGGCTGCCAACCCGGACTGAGGGCTCCCTACTTCCTGTGGGCATAGCTCCAATGATTAGCTCATCTCTTCCTCCCAACACTCTAGGAGGGGGCTGTATCCTCTTGTTACAGATGTAGCCACTGACACTTGGAACGGTGAGGTGAATCATCAAAGTGCAATTTCTACCTTTCTGCAGGAAAATATGGCCATTTATATCATAGGTATGTCAGCAAGGACACTGGCATACTTCATGGTCTAGCAATTCCACTCCTAGGTAAATACACAAATAATGCATGCTTCGGTTTACCCAAGCATGCGTACAAAGATGTCATGGTGGTGCCATTGGAATTGCCCTAAACTGGAAACTACCCACATGCCCAACAATGGCAGAGTAGAGTGCTAATGTGTAGTATAGTCAAGCAATGGAATAGCACACAGCAACGAAAATGAACAGTATAGATAATCACAGACAAAAGCAGCCAGACAGGAAGGTGTACATACTTTATGATCCTATTTGCATAAAGTTCAAACACAGGCAAAACTCAACTACAATGTCAGAGGTCAAGACAGTGGCTGCTCTTAAGGGAGGCATCGTAGATGATGCTAACATTGTAAATGACTTTTGGAGGATGAGATCAGGAGGAGTGACTTGAATGGAGTGCAAAGAGGAGTTCTGGGTACTAGGAATGTTCCATTTCTAGACCTCCATACACTTGACATAGTTGTGTGCTCGGAAACCTCAAAGAACTGTCTGTATGCTTATGAGTGATGCACTGCTCTGGATGTGTACTAGATCACAACAAAACATTTACAAAAAAAAAAAAAGTGTTGGTCTTCCTTGACTAAAGGAGATCTGGGAAGAAAAAAGAAAAATGAATAAAAAATTTAAAAAAATTGTAATTCCACTTGGCAGAAATGTATCCTAAAATAATAGACACAACAGGTACAAAAATATGAATACATAAATGTGTTCAACTTTGCACTCTTTAAAATGGCTTAAAATTCGACTTGCCCTAAGGGACTATCAAAAGCAGATTGGGGCCAGGTGCGGTGACTCACGCCTGTAATCCCAGCACTTTGGGAGGCTGAGGTGGGCAGATCACTTGAGGTCAGGAGTTTGAGACCTGACCAACATGATGAAACCCCGGCTCTACTAAAAATACAAAGATGAACCAGGCGTGGTGGTAGGTACCTGTAATCCCAGCTATTCGGGAGGCTGAACCAGGAGAATCGCTTGAGCCTGGGAGGCGGAGGTTGCAGTGAGCTGAGATCGTGCCACTGCACTCCAGCATTGGCAACAGAACGAGATTGCCGGGGGAAAAAAAAAAAAGCAACGCAAAAAACAGATTGGTTGAACACTTTTTGGTATGGTTAGCCAATTTTTTAAGTATACCGCCTTTAGAGTGCAAGAGGGAGGAAAAAAATTTTTTTTAGGTATACTGCCTTTAATAGTGACAGTTGTGTATTTGCATAGAAATACATTCCACATACACTGCCTAAAAACAGCTTGCTACCAAGAAAGCGCAACTCTGTGTTGTGGAAAAGACATAAAAATATACAACTGTGTTTAAGTAATTTAAAAATCCTAGTTATTTTCCCCGAAATAATAATTAATTATTTCTCATCTCAATACCTGGATGAAAGACTGTTTTGCTTTTGGTTCATCTATATTTTCCAATTTTTCTCTAATGTACAATGTACATGTATTCGTCTTGGAATGAAGATTTTCAGCCTACAACATGATCCCATCTGGATGGCTGAGAGATCTCATAAATACTGCGATTAATGAATCATCACTGGCTGAGTCATGTCCCAGGCACACATCATCTTCTTCAGTTCCTTCCATGACCTTGTGAGGGACCGACTATTCCCGCTTTACAGAAGAACAAACTGAGGCTCAGCAGGGATGTAACTTGCTCAAGGTCACTGACCTTGATGGAGGCAGACCCACAATTTGAACTCAGCCTGTCTGGCAGAAAACATGTAGTTCTGTGTTGTTGTTGTTGTTGTTGTTTTTATTTGTCTGTCTCCCTTTGTATGATCACTTAACCCCCAAACCACACTGATCTGATGATAAATAATGATTAGAAATTACAGCTAAACAAGCGCACCTAAACAACCACTATTAAAGATGAGTTATGGCTGGGCGTGGTGGCTCACGCCTGTAATCCCAGCACTTTGGGAGGCTGAGGCGGGTGGATCACTTGAGGTCAGGAGTTGGAGACAAATTCATAGGAACAGAAAGTGTAACAGTGGTTGCCTGAGGCCAGGGAGGGGAGGGGCTGGAGAGGGAGAACAGGGAGACACCGCTAATGGGCACCAGAGTTTCTTTTGGAGAGAGATAAAAATGTTCTAAAATTATATTGTTTTGATGGTTGCATAACCCTGTGATTATACTAAAACTATGGGGTTCAATTTAAATGGTGAATCTCATGATGTGTGAATTATATCTCAATAAAGCTATTTAAAAAACAAATTACTGAATAATCATAACAACAAGGGCAGACATTAACACATTAACTAAGCATTGCCATTTTCTGGCCTCTGTGTTCAACTGTACTTGGATAAGCCTGGGCTGCTACAACCCTCTCCTTCAATTCTGTTAGGTAGGTATGATTCTACGCCCATTCTAGAGATGAGAACTCCGGGATGTGCCCAAGGTCCCACAGCTAGGAAGAGGTATATAAATCATCCTAGATCAAGTTTATCTAATAGTTTCCAGTTAACTGCATCCAAAGTGCTTTGCAAGGCTGGGTGCAGTGGCTCACACCTGGAATCCAGCACTTTGGGAGGCTGAGGTAGGCAGATCACTTGAGGCCAAGAGTTTGAGATGTGCCTGGCCAACATGGTGAAACCCCATCTCTACTAAAAATGCAAAAATTAACCAGGCGTGGTGGTGCACACCTGTAACCCCAGCTACTTGGGAGGCTGAGGCAGGAGAATCACTCGAACCCGGGAGGCAGAGGTTTCGGTGAGCTGAGATCGTACCACTGCACTCAAGCCTGGGTGATGGGAGGGGGGAAGTACAAGCACACACATGCAAACTCACATACACATACTCCCTCTGTCCTGCCTGATTGAAAGCAAAGGATTAGGAAGACAACCTCCCACCTCTGGGACCCTCTTTTTGACACCCAAATCCCTGGAGCCAAGGGCTCAGCTCACAGCTCAGGCGAGACTCCTCCGGCACAGTGACTGAGAGAAAGGATGATTTCTGAAGCCTCAGGAACTGACTTTCAGAACACCCCAGGCCCTAGCAGGTGGAGCTGGTCTAACCCGACATGCCTGGTGAGCTGCCTCCTCCTAACCGCGCCTCCCACCCCAACCCCCGCCCCCGCCCCCG